TCTCTCATCTTTTTAAGTGGGAGAACTTGCACAATTGGTGACTGACTAAATACTTATTTTCCCCACTGTAACAAGCCAAACTGAGTCTCTCCGGAGAGAAAACTCAGCTTTCTTCCTAGTTGGAGTCAGGAAGAAGAGTGTGTCCGTTCCTCAAAGCCGTCCGGGTTAGTAAGAGAAATGGACTATCTTTGGTTCCGCCCTCAGCTTAGAGATGAGTCAGAGAAAGAAAGATGAGATTTGCCAGCGGCGCCAGCCCAAGGCTAAAATTCTATGGCTGTTCACAACAGGATGAAAACCTTTCTTCAGCTTTCTTCCGATAGACTCTAAGAGAAATCACTGCAAAACATTTATGATGATTAATTAACATTTCTGTTTTATAATCAGTTCTGAACCTTCTGTTAGTCCAGATAAATGAAAGATTTTCTCAAGAAAAATCCATAATTATATTACTGTGTTCACAGTAAAATAAAAACACTGATTTACATAAAAACACAATGAAAACATTTTAAAGATTTTCTGTGATTTTTTATACCATTATTAATCTTTTAGGCACGATAAAAGGAAAGAAGTCGTTCCACTTTTCTTGTGACAGTCATTATCATGATTTAACAAATGCATAAACATTCTTTGTCTGACGTTAAGGAATAAAAGTCATGGTAATATGAGAATTAAGCCATAACGTTATCATAATAGTCATGACCTGTATCATGATCTGTTGTGAGCAGCTCCATCAAACAGTAGCCAGTTTATTGCCTGTACAGATAACATGTGAGCTAACTTATCATTTAATCCTTAAACATTTTATATCACTTAACTTCACAACATTCCTCATTTTAACGCAAACACAAGACTACTTTTTGTAGGCATTCTCATAATTATGAATGGCTGTACTGGAAAATTTAATTTCCTTTTTGGGGTTAATAAAGTACTATTATTAATAAGTTATTATATTATTAATTTAAAAACTGGGTTAATAGTATATCTAGTCAGAATGAAATTGTTAAAAGTTTAAGATTGTAAGAAAGATCTAACCAATTATATCCCTTATTCAGAAGATAAAATAATGGATAAATGAATTAGTTCTGTCAAACATTTTGTTAGACTATTGTTGCTGTGTGTTTAGCTTTTGTTATTCTGTGTAGGTTTCCTAAATTCATTCATTGCAATTCATATAATAATATAAAGTGTAACATAAATCGATTTTTACACTACTTTACCTTTACAGCTTACAAAACGTTTATTAACTGTGTGTGGGATCAATAAAGTTGTATTTTGTAGTCCTGTAAGAAGTTTTAATACATTGTTTTTGGTACCTTTTTTCTCAAATTCTGTGTGTGTGTGTGCACATGTGTGTGTTTGAATAAATGGTGCCGTATTAAGATGCTTCTTCATTTTTTGTTCCATTTGGGGAAAAATAAATGGGGTGAAGTTTCATTAGATTTGAAAAATATTAACCACTGCCTCTCAGCCCGTTTTTGTGCCATGCGAGTGAAATTTTGAGTTCTGGTTCTGTCATTGCCAAGGCCACCAGCGAGACGTTAGCCATAAATCTGTGGTAGGATGTAAAAGATGGCAGGTTGGCATTCCTGGACTGTGAGGTCTCAGTTTCGGATGGAGGACAATTAGAAACTGACGTGTATCACAAACCCACCCATACAGACCAGTATTTGTGTTTTGACTCCCACCACCCACTGGAACACAAGTTAGGAGTGATCAGGACTCTGTACCACAGAGCAGACAGTGTCCCTACAAACCCAGGAGCCAGGCAGAAAGAGAAATCACACACACGACAGGCCCTGGAGCAGTGTGGTTATCCTGACTGGGCTTTCCTGAAAGCAGACAGGAAACACAGACAGGATTCCATGCAACCTTCAGGTGAAAATGAAGACCCTAAACCCAGACCCAAACCAGTCGTCATTACATATGTGGCGGGAGTTTCAGAGAAACTGAGACGTTTATCCTCTAAACATGACGTCCCAGTGGCTTTCAAA